AGATTTTTTTTCTTCTCAGTGTTTATTTTCCTGATGCATTAATCCTGAATGAGCAGAAGTGTACTTTGTTTGCCATCCAAGGTCTCAGTTTGTTTTGTACAAAGGCATTAATGTTTCTTTATCTTTTCTGGAAATAATTTTCTCCCAATTCTATCACACTGTTTTCTGGTAACCATTTTGATCACAGTGACAGATCTGTGTTTCTTTTGTTTTTATCAACTGATGATCTCCAATTTTATTGCAGATTTTTTCATTGGTCCCAAATTGCTTCATCATGCTTTTGAACTAGAAAGTTTCATTTCATTTCTATCATTCTAGTGATCAGAATTTTCCACTTCTCATATGTAATAAATAAATAATTTTCCATTGTCTGTGTTTTGACATCCCAATTTCCTTTCCTACTCATCATAATCGCTTCTGTCTTGCAATGTTTTCACTTTAAAATGTCATCTGAAGCTGTGCCTGCTGTGCAGTACTTACAAAAACTCCAAAAGAGAAGTAGTTTGAATGCTTTTTCATTCCTCAGTCCAGGCAGAATGTTTATGGTTCTGGACTCCAGGACCAGCATCTGCAGTTCTCAACAAAGTTATAATTGCTTGAGAAAGTGCTTTTGTGTTTTGGGATTTAGTTTATGCCCCCTCCCCCAGTGTGGGTGCAGTAAGTTCTCCTTTTGCATCCATMTTGATMATCTCTTTTTCTGTACCTTCATTCTTGTTAGAGTGGTTTGGGTTGGAAGGGACYGTACAGATCATCCAGATCCAATCTGTGCCGTGGGCACAGACACCTTCCACCAGACCAAGTTGCTCAGAGCCACATGCAACCTGGYCTTGAACAGCTCCAGGGATGGGGAATCCAAATGTCAAGTGTTCCAGTCTTCCTTTACATTAATTTCATCAGAAACAAGTCTAAAGTATATGTTTAGATTGTGTGGATTGTCTTTGTTCTCTGCATTTCTTCATACCACAGAGCAGATAAACTTTCCTTTCTGGAATTCTCTTTTTCACTTGTGAGGTTTTAAAACCTGCTGTTGTTTGCTGGATTTTTTTCAGTTCACAATATRCCACATACTGTTTCCGCTTTGTTTTTAGCTTTCATCTAAGGAAATTGAGATCCTGCTTGCAAATCTGCACTTGTATTACAGTGATGTTGCAAAGCTGTAGCAGTAGGTGCCACAAYATGACTGTAATACAGTTGTCACTATCAGTCGGTTTCTTATTCTTAAGTTAATTCTAGGAGTGGACAGCAGACTGTCCTTGTCATCAGCACTTCAGAATTATAGAAATTAGTTTTTTGTGACATTTATCTGAGTTTTTGAAGGAATGGCATTGGAATGATAGCTTTGATTTTATGAGTCTGCTGAATGATGGGGAGGAATTATGATTCTGAGGAAATTAAAATTAKGAAATCTCAGAGGAGGAATCATTTCAGCAGGTTTTTTAATGTCAGTTCAATTATTTGGGAACATACCTTTATGAGACCAGGCCTTGATCACTTAACACTTTAAATCACATGGAGAATGTGATGATTATATGAAGTCATTGTCTTGCACATTTTTTGAGAAAATTATATGAAGTACACTTTTGAGGAATTATTTCAAGAAGTAGAATGTTTCAGATTTTTTATTAGTAAGACCAAATATATTAAAGATACTTTTGGTAGCTCAATTAAGTAATGGAAACTGAAAAGTCATAAAACTGCATCTTAAGAAAGGATGTGATTAATTTTTACCATTACTGAACAAATATATCAATATATTAAAAAATTTAGAACTTCCTTTTATTTGAACTCTCATTCACCTTATGTATTCACCCAGTATAAACAAGGGTGTTTTAAAGCACTTAATCTGTAGTTAATTTTAAAGAATGAAAAAAATAGTCCTGTTCTTTTCTGTGGGTTTTTTTTTGTCTATTAATATTTGATTTACTGACTAAATTAGCAAGCTTTGGGGTTTGCTACACTTTTAAGCTACTGGTGACAAGACCATTTCCTGTCCTTTTGTTCARTACAGAAGGTCAACAAGATGGTTTCTCAAATATGTTTGAGAATTGGAGATCTGTTCTTGCAGGACAAGATCATCATCTAGTAGAACGTTAGTAGTGTGAGGAGCTATTTCTGTCAATGGCATACTAATTTCAGCACCCCAATTTTAAGAATAATAGGTCTTTGAATGTCAAAATAGAAAAGTTATCTGATGACCCACAAAATAAAGTTAATTAATTTGATAAAGCTTTGCATAAATTAATTTCCTATTTCGTTTCTTAATGAAGGTAGTATTCTACATTTGAATTGGATATGTACTTTGTAATAATAAATTTTAGATATAAAATTATGATTATATATGGAATCATTAATATTTAATGGTTTATTCTAGTTATATCCTCATAATTTTAAAAGTTTATATAATGAATTTTCTATTTTGGGGTGGGTTTTTTTGGTTTTTGGGTTTGGGGTTTTTTTGTGGGTTTTTTTTGGTTTTTTGTTTTGGTTTGGGTTTGGGTTTTTTTTGTTTGGTGTTTTTGTTTGTGAGAATTTTATGTTGTGGTATTTTGTGGGGTTTTTTTGTTTTTATTTTTGGTAAATTTTTTTTGTAGTCAAAAATGCCCAGTGGTGACATAGTACTAAAAAAAAAAATGTCAGTTCCCAGGGCATTTTCATATCACTGTATTGTTGTGGAAGTCTTAAATAAGAGGACAAAAAATGCTCAGTGTGAGTTTTAAGGTCTTGTACTGTCATGTTAGTGTTGATYGTAATACCAAAATGATAATTAGATTTTAACATTTCATGTATACACTGGAGTGTCACCTTGCAATAGCAATCAGCCACAGTAATTAACAGCAATGCAGATCATTTGCATACCCCTGCATTATTGCAGTCATCAGGGCAGTCTAGAAGGGTTCTSTTATTTGTAGAGCATGATTGCAAGTTGTGATTTTCACAGAGCACTGCTGTCCTGCCAGGTTTTTTTATGGTGTGTTTGAATTAGGATGTGTACATGTGCTTTTTTAAACTATCCAATAAAGTGGGCTTTATGAGTGTGTGTGTGTGTGTGTGTGTGTACACAGAATGCTAGATGGCCTCTTAACATTGCCATTTTCCACATTTTTAGCTCTACCTTTCAAATAAAAGACAAATTCTGAAAATAATGAAGGAATAAAATGGCGCAGGTCTGAAAAGAAAGTGTTTTACTAAATGAAATGTATTACTGAATATATCGTGTAGCAATATAAACAACAGTTTAGAAGTGACCCTCATTTCCTACAGTGTGGCTCACTGCTCTTATTTTGTAGGAGTCTAGGTAGGGATCCAGGCTCTGATTGTGTGAATTCCAGTGTAAAGTTTTTCAGTGTTCATGGCTGCAGAGGACTAGTCATGGCAAATTCTGAGTGTTATTTTCTGGTGACAGGATGTCTTGCAGATTTTCAGTTTTGTGATTCCTGGGTCAGATATTCCTACCTYCATCCATACAGCAAGGGCCCTGTGAGCCATCTAGTGGGAGGTTTATTCTTAACACTTGACCATTTGGGAAACCTGTTCTTTGTGACCTTTTCCTGTTAAGCTGCCCAGCTGATTGTAGACAGTGATGGTTTACTTTGTGAACTGGCTCTTCAAAAATAGTGCAATATGTAATTTTTTAGGATTCTCCTAGTTTTTAGGATGGTATGTTTTGGGATCTTTTGGAAGGCAAAAAACAATGTGTATGCAATATGGTAGGTGCTCCAAGAATCTGAGAAACTCATTATGCCTTCAGCGCAGTTACTTTTCTGTTATAGTTATTCTTCTGACATTCTGATTATGCTGAATATATCCAAGGCTTTTGGTATATATGGGTACACTGAGTAACAGGTTAGAGTATGCAACAACTGGTCTGCAGGAGAACTTTCAAAAAGCCCACTGTGACAATGTATATGTAGATTATGGTAATATTTGGAAAATTTAGATGTTAGAAAAATTTTAGTGGGTTTTGGTACTGCCAGAGCCTTTCATACTAATAGACATACAGACACCATGGAGCCTCAAAATCATCRCAGACTGCATTTCTGGACGTGAAAACCACGGTAAGTCTGGGAAAGTGCTCATCCTGTACCACAAGAACAGTGAAGCCTTGGGAGATTAGTAAGGACATTACTGATGCTTTTATACTTAATTGTTCATTTTTGAATGGTGTCATTATAGATGTTAGAGAAGAATTGCAGTTTTGAAGTGTAAGTTATGTTTTTAATTGAGAAATGCATCTGATACATTTTATCACAGTACAGATTTAGTGTGTTAGCACATAAACCAGTAATATCTGACCTTAATTTGTCATGTGTCCTGTTGTACCTGCTGTTTCTGCTTCCCTTCTGGTGGCATCTGAGTGGCGAGCTGTTTTCCTCTTTTTTTCCAGGTTAAAAAATAACAATCAGTTGGTAGTTAAAACTGCCAATTATAGTTATAACTACCAATTGGTTAAAGCAAAAGAGGTTACTTCAGGTAAAAATATTTCTGAAGAAAAACCCTCACCTGTTGAGCTGAGTTGGAGAGGCACGTGGAGTATTAGAACAACCTTGAACCAGGTGCCTCACTGTTAATGTTCCCTTCGGCTTTCATGGCAATTTTAGTTTCCTCTGTGGAGCAATCTGAAGTTTTCTAGTGCCACTGACACATTTCAGCTCTCTTGTTTGCATAATGCACAGCTGCAGAGCTGCAAAAAAGACCATCTTGTTTGAGTGGGAACTCCTGAATAACATTTTGCTGAAGCTTGAACACAGACCTTATCTTTTAATCTGGCACACCTGTTATAAAGTGGAAGTAGCACTGTTTGTTTCAAATCTTTAACATTCATGTCAAAAATAATAAAAAAAAATAGTGACAGCATTAATAGAAAAAGAGAATGTATGTGCTGCTTTCTTTCAACGTTGGATAATAAACGTGTCTAAAAAATGACATAATCATATTTTCCCAGGTGTGCTTTTGCTGTCCACATAAAGGTTAGTTAATTAGGCTTCATATTGTCTCCACAGAGATCTAAAATTGCAGTATTTGATAAAATGTGGACCTATATGAAAAGTGCAGAACCATCTGTGTTTGTGAGGACTACAGCAGAAGGGGTAGCTCGAGTACGGAAGTCCAAAGGAAAATATGCCTACTTGCTGGAGTCAACCATGAATGAGTACATCGAACAAAGGAAACCCTGTGACACCATGAAAGTTGGTGGGAATTTGGATTCCAAAGGCTACGGCATCGCCACACCAAAAGGATCTTCATTAAGGTGGGTGGAATAGTATAACAATATGCTAAATGTTGTTATAGTATCCCACCTACCCTGATGTATCTTTACTGAAGTCTATGGTTTGTATGAGGATATGAGGTAACTCAAACATTACATTTCAAACACTATTATCGAAATGAAAGTGCCTATGGTGACAGTATTGACAAGTGTTTGGATACTTCCTTAAATTTCTTGCAGGTTTTCTAACCATGTAAACATTCATTTTATTATTATTATTTAAACATTCCAGTTTTAAGGATTGTTTTCTTATTTCTTTTCCTTTTTTTTTAGATTTGCTTTTCACGTTACTAGCTTATAGTGTGAGTCTGTTTCCTCATACCTTGTAGAAAACGCCGCTCTGCTCATGAAACTAAAACCGAATGGCTGCATTTGAACAGTAAACCAGAGTAACTAACAAAATGTGCCATTGTTTAAAGAGGGCTTTGTTTCGGGGAGAGGATAATGCACTATGAATTTCTTTGCACACATCTCTTTACTATGTAGTTAACTCTTTGTATTCCTATTTTGTTGTTTTTTTAGTGGAGTCACATTCAAGACACTGTTATTTGTTTGTTGTGGATGTGAGTACATTGCTGTAGAATATAGAACTCCCCATATTAGCACTCTTTCCTTTCTTTTCTTTTTTTTATGCTCTACCACCTTACCCAAAGATTCAGACCATTAGTTGTCCATAGAGTATCCAGTACCACTGACTGTTGTGGCCGTTATCCCACCTCTTTTTTTGTGATGAGAGTTGCCACAGAGGCAAAAGCAAAAACATACAAAAAAAGAAAAAGAAAAAAAAAAAAA